AGCTTAACCTGAATTACAGAAGAGATTTCCAGGCAGATGTAAGTGCAAAGGTTCTGTGGCTTGAGGAGCCAACCACGAAAGGGGACCGAGAGCAGGGCAGCATGACGGTGGGGGTGTACAGGGTGCAACTGAGGAGCTGGAGAGGGAGAAAAGGGCAGGTCAGAGAGGGCTTCATGCCAAAGAGTTGAGACCACTGAAAGACTTTGGAAAGTTCACCCTGGAGGTATTGAGGAAGATGTACTGGAGGGGGTGAGATGGGGTAGGAGAGACAGTTAAGAGACTATTGGAGCAATCCAAATGAAAAACGGTGAAGGTAGAAACTACAGCAGGGCACTTTTAAAGAGGATGGCACTGATCCCAGATATATTAAGGAGTAGAATGAATGGCAGCTGGGGACAGAGAGGACAGGGCACTAGAGAGAGGGATGGGAGTCTAGAATAACTCCCAAGTTTTCTCTTGGACAATGAGATGATTGCTGTTGCCATTGATTGAAGAAATAAAGGAAACAGAGAAAGAGAAGCAGGTTTCGTTAGTTAAGGATATTTTCAAGCTGTGAGGTCTATGGGAGCCTAGGAAAGATGTACATAGCATGCAGTAGGGAACAAGAAACTGAAAATCAGTCAGAGGTTTGGAAGTAGCCAGAAACCCAACCTAGAGAGACCACACACCTGAATTTATCCTGATGGTCTAAAACCCTGCAGTCCCACCCAAATGCGTTCCTTCCATCCTATCCAGCACATTCTCTCTGTATGCTGAGTGATCTTACATTCTACGCACAAAGATCACTTGAAAGTCTCTTCCCTGATTGCTGTGCTTTGACTACTGTGTTCCCCCAAAACTCATGTTGAAATCCTAATGCCCAATATGATAGTATTAGGAAGTGGGGTCTTCAGGAGGTGCTTAGGTACTTAGGAGGGTGGAGGCCTTAAGATGGGGACTATTTTATAAAAGAAACCCCAGAAATTCCATCCCCCTTCCATCATGTGAGGACACAGAGAGATGTCAGTTGTCTGCAAACTGGAAGAGAGCCCTGCCCAGAACCTGACCACTCCAGCACCCTGATCTTGGACCTCCAGACTTTAGAAGTGTGAGAAATAAACTTCTGCTGTTTATAAGTCGCCTAGTCTGTGGTATTTTGTTAAGAGTAGCCCAAGCAGATTAAAACACTGATCAAATTTGCCTGATGATAGAATACCTGAAATGGAAAGCCGTTATCTTGAATATATCACGGAACCAGCCCATGCTTATAGATCTGGTGCAGCCATCTCTTGTCCTTCACATTGTCCCTAGTTTGAAAGCTATTCATGCTATTAATTTTTTTTTTTTTAAAGGCAGAGCCTGGAAACTAGCACTTATTTCCCCTTAACTTGAGCCCTTTTTAGAAACCAATGTTCTCGCCTTTACACTGGGCAAAGATTGATCATTATGGCTGGAATGGTTTCACCGCTTGGCATTTATTTTCATCACAATAACACTGCTTGGGCCATTTGATGAGACATTGGAAAAGGCTAAAAAACAGAAACTGCCCTTGATCATTTGTATTTTGTTGATTTTGTATTGTTTCAAATAACACAGAGGATTCCACCCTCCAAGCATTCTGTGTTAATATGTTACATTTAACCCCAATACATTTGGCATTCTTACTCATTAATATCACCATGTTCCTTGATGTCCATGACACTGAAGAGACCATTCGGGGTGTCCAGAAGGTGTTTCTGACTGACTAAGCTCATAACTGGACTGGAAAGCTTTGTATAGAAAACACAGCCTCGTCTCAGCCACCCAGAAGATCCCATTCCAAGGCACATGTATCATGCAGACAAGAATTAGCACAAACACAGCATATTTTATATTTTCATAATTTTGTGTGGATAATATTGACCAAAGTTGCTTTTCCCCATTCCTCTTCCTTTTTTTTCCTCCTCTCACTACAAATGTGTCTTGTCCTCAGTATTCCACTGACACTTTTCTTATGAAGTTTCCCGTGACCTCCCCGTTACTAAATTCAGTAATCAACAGCAGGTCCTCATCTCCCTCCACACCAGCCAAATCGAGGGTTCTGCTGTTCTTAGACACACTGCAACAAAGCACTCTCTAGCTGCACTTGGAGGACCCTTCTGAGCCTCTTTTGCCACTTCCTAGTTCCCCGACCTCCTACAACCTAGACTTGGTTCTGCTTCTCCACATACTCACTTTTTAGAGGATCTCTTCTAGTCCCATGGCTTCAAAAGTCATTTCTATGCTGATGACTTCTAAATAAATTTCTATTCCTTGCCCCATCTCTGAACTACAAATTCAGAACAAGTTTCTCAAACATGTGTCTGAAATTAATTTCCTAAATTTTCCCTGAAATCAACTCCTAGAATCCTCCCCATTTCATTTCGTGAGAACTCACTACCCTAAGTGCTGAAACCCAAACCTTAATGTCATTGATTTCTCTTTCCTTCATTTACCGTACTCAATCCAACAGTAATTCCTGTTGGCTCTACCATCAAGTTCTATCTAGAATGTGACCACTTTCACACCTCCACTACTCCTTCCCCGGGCCGGTAAGACAATAATGTCTTACCTGGTTCATTACATCCTAACTGGCCTCCTGGCTTCAGCTCCTGCCCATCCAGTCAAAGTATATCTAGACAACCTAGCCATTTGCTAGCAGGAGAGACCTGGAAGTTGTGGGTTTGCAACCAACAGTGTCTGTCACAATAATAACAAGATTTGCTGATTAGATGAAAAGTGCCCTGTAAAGAGGCTCTTTTCAAACCTTTTATGCTGTTAGGAAGGAAGGTTGGAAGGGGGTCATCTAGAAGTTAACATCATATGACCAGTCAGGGCCAGCTTCATGTCCATGAATCCTGTGCCCACGTACAAGGCACTGAACTCGGAAGTCTTTCACATTTGCTCTAATGCTCTCCTGTCATCACCTTGAAATTCTTCATGATTTTTGAACAAGGAGCCCTGCATTTTTATTTTGTACTGAGCCCTGCAAGTTACATAGCCAAACTCTAGTATCTGGCAGCAGGAATTAAGGGGGAAAAGTAAATCTTGGAATTACTGCAGAACAACAAATATCTAATGATTGAATATGAAGTGAACGTAAAAATAAAACTTAGAATCTTGTTTTCTGGAAAGATGGTGATGATTCCTATGGGGAACACAGTGGAAAAGGAAATTTGTTTCAGAGAAAACGAGAACTCTATCAGTCCAAGGAACTGGAGTTTGAGAATTTAATCTCTAAAGAGAGTTGAGACAGAGAAGACTAAATCTGAATCCTCAGAGCAGAGGCTGTAGTTAAAGTATAAGAAATTAGAGGAGATCACCAAGGAGTGAATGTATAGAGAAAAGGAAAAAAGAAAAAAAAAAAAAGGTTTTGGGGCTTCAGTAACTGAGGGTTGGAATCGGGTTAATACATTCTCTCTTTTCTTGTGGAATATTTATTCACATATGGGAGAGTTTCTCTGAAGACTTGAAAGAACCAAACCTGGTTTAAGGGTTTGGGTGGTGGAACTAGGTGGGACCGCAGAGGTAATCTAATTGAACACCCACACTTTAGAGATGGGAAAACCAATGCTCCAGAACACATAAAAAAATTTCTATGGTCCCTTTTCTGAATGTTTTGAAATGTGCATTTCAAAATTATCAAACATGAAGAAAAAAATCTTTGGCATCTCGTGAAGGTAGAATTAGCCCCTAGTTTGACTGGATACCGCCATATGACTCCTCCGTACTCTGACTCCTTCACCGTAGAAGGCTGACAATACCTCCAGGGCACAGGTCTCCCCTTCCCTCATTGTGGCAGGCAGATCACAGCCCAAGGGCTCCTGGCTGAGGGTCGCAGCCTGGCGGCTACATCTGTGTGTCTGCCAGGAGAGACTTCTTTTCCTGTTTCTAACTCACCTTAAGTCTGCATCCCAGTAAAGCGGTGTTCTGAATGTGAGATGATGTGAAGTACATGGCACAGAGTAAGTTCTCAGTACAGGGGGACAGAATTCTTAGGAACTCTTTAGTGCACATTTATTATACTTATGAAGCTTGTAACAAACACAAAACGCCAAACTAGAATTTATTGGTAATTTTAATAAGAAAGGATGCATCTATTCCCAAGACTTGCGATACTGCCCTGGATCTTACCGTAAAATTCTAGGAAATTTCCGGGATACTAACATAACCAGATATTTATAGCTCTGGTAAAAAACTACTGCAATAATTATTTAAGGATTCTGCACAGCGCAGGGAAAAAAATACTGAGAAACTTCACCGGAGTTATCAAATTTCAAAATATGGTCAGCAGAAAAGCAGTGATTTCCAATTAAGTTTTTTTTTAAACTGTATTCAAGTGTAGAGTAGAATACCGTTTCTTCCTTATCCAGAAAGAAAACTTACAGTTTTTATTGTCAAACCAGTGTCTTCCTCCAGAATTTCTAAACGAGATCTCGCTCATGCTTGCCACTCAGGCACCACCACCTCGTCCTCGGGTTGAGCGGTCCGGCTCCCGCCCCCGCAGCCGCGGCCACTGCGGGCAGAGGACCCGGCGAGCACGCGAGGAGGTGAGATTCCGGATTCCGGTCCACGGATCACGCAGATTCGCGTTTTCAAACCGAAACTTAGCTGGACCCCTCGCAGCGCTCTCTGTAAGGGGCTAAGGGAACTCATTTCTTCCACGGCGTCCACACCCAGAAAAGCTTGTCGCTACGAACGGGCTGGGGTGGGGACTGCTGGGCTGAACCCTGACAGGTCGGGGGGGGGGGGGGCTTCACTTGGCTGCCCCCTCAGGCAGAGGCGTGCCCTCAGGGCGGAGGCGCGCCGCGGGCAGCGCTTGGACCGGAGCTCGCAGCCCCTACGCCGCGCTCCCGCTTCGCCGGCCTCTGACGCACCACACTTGTGCGCAGGCGCACAGCGGGGGCCGCGGGCCCAGGCCCGCGCGTGCGCCATGCCGCGCGTCTTCGCGACGGCGCCGCCTCCCAGCCAGAGCTGAGTAAAGGCGGTGAGGGCCCGCCTCCCAGCTCGGAAGGAGGCGTGGGCATGGAGCCGGCTGGGGACGCGGAGCGGGGGGCTGGCGCCGCTGCCTAGGGCGCCCCGTGGGCTCCTTGGGGGCACGGCCCGGTGCTGCGCGGATGGCCCTGCTCCCGCGGCCCGCGTTCGCCCTCGTCCTCCTCTTCCTGCCCGCCGCTCTCAGGTGCCAGGAGCAGGCCCAGACCACCGACTGGCGGGCCACCCTGAAGACCATCCGGAACGGCGTTCACAAGATAGACACGTACCTGAACGCCGCCTTAGACCTCCTGGGAGGCGAGGATGGGCTCTGCCAGTATAAGTGCAGTGACGGTGAGAGGGAGCCCAGGTCCTGCGAGGCCCTCGCTTTCAGGGTGTTGCGGGGACGGAGGTCGTGGAGGTGTTGGGAGGCAAGGCAGACCTTGACGTTGTCCCCTAGCCGTGGAAAGACTTAACCACTGCTAGGGTCTTACCATTCTTGTGATTGAGCAATCAGGTTAGAAGTGCGCACCGCTATTGTTAGCCTATGGGAGGTCACCTGAGGTGTACTCTCCGTTCTGTTTTCATTGCTTTTGAATCACTACGTTTTCTTTTTCTCTTTCTTTTTTTTTTCTTTTGCTATTGCACGAAGTTGCCTCAGAACTTTGTGACGTACGCATCATGGGAATGGAGTGGAACAGAATGATTTTAGCCCTATATTTTAGCACCGTTAGTCAGCCGAACATGCAGAATATACCGAGAATTGTAATCATGACGTTTTACCTGTTTCAAGAATTGCTTTTAATTTTTTTTTTTTCCTGCAGGGCCACAGAAAATGAATTACGACCTTTGTACAGACTTCTGGTGTACTCTATTGTTGAGAAAGAGTTCTGATAATTCTTCTAGAAATTGTCTATCACTTGATAGGAATTTTCTTTCCTTGGTTAATACTACTATAATTGTTTTGATTTACTTTTCATATTTTTTAACTTTAATTCTTTTTGAATCTGAGAACTTGTTTGGTGCCATCGTTGGTAATAATAAACTCAAGGTCTTAGCAGAGATCTTTTCAAGCACTTGCTTTTTTTGAATGTTTAAATATTGTAGCAGCTCAGGTAAAGTACTCAGGCTTCTCTTTGGAAATTCAAAATTTTAAGATTTTGATTGGGAGGTCATGTTTCCAGTAAGAGTAGACGAAGTCGGGGCCTAGTTCATTTAGTGCTTGGCACCTTAAAGTAATAGGGAACTCAGTGACTAATGGTAAAACCAGATTGCATGGAGGTGAATTTAAAAGAAATCTATGTCATGTAAAACTGGGATGCCACTTGCTGCCTGTAATTCTCAAAATAATTTCTAGTTTTATGTTAATTGAGGTAAAGAATGAGCCATATCTCGTATGCTATGAAGTGCAAAATGTTTCCTTCCTAAATTTATGCCTAAATGTTACCACCAGTATGCAATCGGGAAGGATGTTGTTATGAGAAATAAGTGAATTATTTGAAAATTAAATGGTTGCCTTTCCTGAGGCAGATGTCATAATTTTACTTAGTCATCCCCATTCGTTATAGAAATATCTGAGTGCCTGTTACGTCTCAAGTGTTCTACCAATTGGAGATTGAGCAGTAAACAAAACAGATAAAATTCCTGTCCATGGAGCTTACATTTTGGTGGGAAGAGACAGTAAACTAAAAAACAAGTAAAATAAGCCAAATATGCAGTATATGTAGGTCTGAAGTTTGCCAGTGTTTTGAGAACAATAGTAAAAACAGCAGTGGCAGTGTTGGGAGGCAGTTTACTCATTTTAAATAGGTTGTTCAGGGAAGATCTCACTGATAAGACAGCATTTGAGAAGAAATCTGAAAATGCTGAAGGTGACACTGTGATGATCTGGGCCTAAAACCCTCCAGGCAGAGGGAATGGCCAGTGTGAAGGACCTGAGGAGAAAGGCCAGTCAAGGATGACACTGAAGATTTTGGCCTGAGCCAAAGGAAGGATGTGGTTGCCATTTACTGAGATAGGAAAGGCTTAGAAGGAGCAGTCTTCATTAACTTGTGATGAGTCAGGGGTTCTAGAGTTTATTTACAATTAAAATAGCTCTGAAGTTGAATGGATACTGTTCCTATTATAAAGATGACTTTAATCTTTTGTTTTACTTAACCCTTTTTATTTTCAACAAGCCTCACTAAATTTACCATGTGGAGTCTCAAGCAAGATCTCCAGCACAAAAAAACATAAATGAACTTGAGAATTTAGGAAATGGTATGCTTCAGTGAACATCCTTTTGTGTCTTAGTAAATGCTGTCTTCTCATAGGAGTGTGGTTCCAAGTCACCATGTTGATAATTCCAACATAATGAAAATTGTTCTTTAATTGCTATTACTTGAGAAGTCTCCCTGGAACACTGTTTCAACCTTTCCCAGATTTTGGAATGCAAGTGATCAAATCAGAACCAAACAAACAGACAAATCCCAAAGCTAGAGGAGCATGGCAATTAAGGAGTGTTTAATAGTTGCAATAAAAGGTAAAGGGATCTTTAAAAAAGACTTGGTAGTAGGGAGAGGGTGATCAGATTAAAGGGCACTCACTTGTTCCATTCAGTTATCTTTGTTTTATCAAAAGGATTGGCTTTATGGAGACTTGCTCCCTTCTGGCCATCCTCCCTCTGGTGAGAACAACACTTTATTGAGATTGAAGTAAAGTTACTTAGGGGAACAAATGAGATGGTTGCTATTTTTTTTCTATTTTTTTTTCTCCCTGACAGCAAAGAAGATTTGAGGATTTGAGAAAGAAAACTTTGTTTTCTTTTGAAAAATAGAAAACAAAATTGGCTTGTAAAGTGCTTTAGAATTATGAATAGGTAACTCATTCAGTGATTTATGTTTATGTCTTAACAGGATCCCTTTGGCTGTTGTGCAAAGGATAAAAAGAGTCCAGGGAGGTGGGAGAGCAAGAATGGAGGCAGAGTGACAGATGCAGGAATTCAGACAAAAGATGGTGGTGCTTTTGTCCAGGTTCATAGCAAGAAAGGTCATGAGAAGTGGTTGGATTTGGGGATATATTTTGAGGGAAGAACCTGAAGGATTTGCTGATAGCTTGGAAGGAAGGTGTGAGTAGGGTAAAAAAAATGATCCCAAAGTTTTTGGCCTGAATGTTTGGAAGGATGGGGTTGCCATTAACTGTAATAGGGCAGACCATGGAAAAAAGTCACTAGGAAAGATAATAACATATTTGTATGCTTTTGAGAATGATTCGGTAGAGAATGAAAACACTATTGAAGGAGAAATGAAGGAGAATTATTGGAGTCAGGTCCTTAGGTAAGTGAGAGGAGTGGGTTCCAGTGCATAAATAGATTGGCCAAGAGCACGGATGGCCTATCCCTATTAATAGGAACAGAGGTAGAGGATATGGGCACAGATGCTGATTAGGTGGATAGATGTCCAAGTTCTCTTCCCATCACTTCAGTTTTCTCAGTGAAGTAGGAATCAAGGTCATCAGCTGAATGCGAAGATGGGAATGGAAGTGTTGGAGGTTTGAGGAAATTAGGAGAGAGAATGGACTAGAAAAATGAAGTAGCACAAGGGCCCTCCGAAGATTAAATCATGAATTAAAATCTCAAGTGTTTAGGAAAGCAGGTTTGAATTCTACACTGCATTTCCTATAAAGCGCAGTGCTAAGATCTTTGACCCAACAGCCTTCCCTTTCTGTTTCCCATCTGCTTCAGTGTCAATCATGTGAAAGAAATTCATCTGTTGGGAAGTATTTACATCAAATTTTTTTTAAAAATATGTAGAAAAGATCTATCGTTACCTCAGTCCAGGCAAATCTTTAGATTTTATCTGTCCATACAGATGATAAAGCATCAAGAGAGGAGCATTTGCCTCAGTCAAAAAGTAGAATCAATGAATAGTATTTCCATGTAGTTGTACCCAGTGGATTTGGTTTGTTTTTTAAATTTTTCTCATCTCATTTTTTTCTTAGCTTTCTGTATTTGCTTACAAATTTTAGTGACTCTGATACATCATGGATTTTGGTTTGACTTTGATATTGCTTCTTCTGTTACTCAGTTTTTGCTTGCTTTGTGTATTAGTCTGTTCAGACTCCTGTAACAAAATACCATAGACTGGGTGATTTAAACAACAGGAAGTTATTTCTTAGAGTTTTGGAGGCTGGAAAGTCCAAGATCAAGGTTTGGCCAATACTGTTCTATAGTGAAGGTTCTTTTCCTGGCTTGCAGACAACTAACTGCCTTCTTACTGTTTTCTTACATTGGGGGTCGGAGAAGCAAGTTCTCTGGTGTCTCTTCCTTGCTCTACTCTCATGACCTTATCTAAACCTAATTATCTTCCAAAGGCCCCATCAGCAAATGCATTGGGAGTTAGGGCTTCAACATAGGAATTTTGGGGGGACACAGTTCAGTTCATAAGCACCGCGTAAAAATTGGCACTCAGTAGAAATGCTAAATTTTTTTAATGTTTAGCATCTTACAACACCAGTTATAACAACATTTAAAATGATATTAACATATTTATAATTTTTGAAGTGTATAGCAACTTAATCTTTAATAAACAACTTTCTATGTAACTTGTCTTGCTCAGAAATAGTAATTTCAATTTAAAGGTGAATTTAGAACTTCAAAACACTTTAAAATGTTTTGGGAAATCTGTTATTTCCCAGTTCTCTGGGGTTTTTGGGGTTTGGGGGGTTGGTTTTTTGGTTTTTGGCTTTTGGTTTGTTTGCTGTAGATAAAGAATATTTTAATCTCAGGAAAGAATTTCCCCATTTTTTTCTCCAGCAATTTCACAGGTGCCTACTATGTGCCAGGCATCTTCTAGGTGAGCAAGACAAAGTTCCTGTCCTCATAGAAACTGATTAATTATGGGGGGGTGGGTGGGAGGATGGACATTAAGGAGGGCATGTTTGGTAGTGAGCACTGGGTGTTATATGCAACTAATGAATCATTGAACACTACATCAAGAACTGATGATGTACTATATGCTGGCTAATTGAACATAATAATAAAAAAAAAACAAAAAAAATTGGCTATTATGTTAATTTGGTCAATGAATGTTAGAAAGAAGAATAAAACCAACCAACGGTGTATGGAATGGTTATGGAAGGGGGGAAGGGGCACTGTCTTAGATGGAGTGAGCGGGGAAGGCCTCTCTGATGAAGTGACATTAGCACATTCCTTCAAAAGCCAAACAAAAACCAGTCACCTGCCCCCTTTGCCACTTATGCTCGGGAGCCAGTTTTATCAGCATTTATTTTATGGTGTTATTATTCAGTAGTTCATGTGCAGTAGGTCTTGGTTCTCACTGCATTTTATCAGCTTCCCTCCTGAGAGCAGTTTTAGACACTGGCTCTGTTTGAAACAACTGCCTCCCCCATCCTCCTGCCTCCATTTTCAGTTTTGCTGACACATTTGCTTCTGTACCATCTCTGTTCGTCTCCATTCTCCTGTAGTAGGCAGGCTTTGATTTGTTTTGGGTTTTCTCCCTGACTTCACTTGCTTCTGATCATTCTCCCACTCAAAGGTAATTATCTTTTACAAAATGAGAAAATATGTATATTAGTACATATATATGTACATACCTATGTATCATTGTCATTACATACATCAAAATGTTAAAAAGTGTTGTATAGACTCAAAATCGGAAGAATCCATAGATTTATATAAAATACAAAGGGAAGGAAAAATAGAACTGCTCCTGTAGTATAAATATTAAAACATTGAGGGAAATATCTTCCCAATAAAAAAAAGTAGACACTTGATATTAGAAACCCACATGCCTTTAAAACTCTAGGCCTGGATCAGTTGTCTGAGGGAGGTAATCTTTGATTCTCATGGAAGAGGGATAGGTACCAGAAATCTGGAGACTGGCAGATGGGGAATATACAGGGTATCCAAAAAGTTGGAAACAAGATAAACAGTATGTTAGTTACATTCTCAAGTAATGTGCCCGATAGGTGTTGCTGCAACCTTTAGATACCTTTTTAAGTGATATACTTCTAAATTGATAGCAATAAGTCCAGTCGTTAACCTGAAAAATACGTTTAGTAAGTACACTACTTATCCTGTTTCCAGACTTTTTGAATACTCTTTGGCTTATTTATTGTACTTTTTTCAGATTAAAAATTCAACCCATTCCTTAATGTCTATTGCTAGATGAGTTTCTAAACATTTTGAACGGTCGATTGTTAAAAACCCCTGACGAGAGAGCATCATGATGAAGCTTCCGGGAACTAGAATGGCTTCCCCAAGAATATCATGCTGATCCAGCTTCCCTCCCATTCAGTGAAGAGATTTCTGGTGTGGTAGGACAAAGAAAACCATAAATCTGATGGCTAGTTTTTCATGACATTCCCATGAGAAATGTAAGCTGGGTAAAACTTGATTTAAATGAAGTCACAACTGATTGAGTGGTCTACCCAAAAGGTTGGGTTGATGACTTCATGGCTGCTTATGGAGAGGGCTTATCTATGGCAGGGTGTTGCGGACCTCTGCCTTGGTTAATATCTGTATCTCAAATTTGTGAATGTCTGGGAGCAATACTAATACTGGGTGAATAGCCCTAAATTTAAACTGTGCTGAATAGTCTTGAATGATGAGCTAAAACTAACAAGACAGAATTTCACAATCTAATATTTAGGCTCAAAATTTAAACTGTAGCAGTGCTGAGTCTCTAGCAGTAGAGTTTATTTTAGAAAGAAGTGATGGGTTTTTTCCTACTGTCCAATGTATCTTAGAACTGAGACACAGCTAAAATATATGCTAACCATCTTAGGTTCTATTAATACAAGTACTTTATCTACTTCAAAATAGGCCCATCACACCTATTGGTGTTCAGTTTGGGATGGCACATTTTAAAGAGATGTGACAAACTAGAAGTGATCAGTCTTTGGAGGTTGATTAATGCTCGCCAAACTCAAAGGAGACTGAAGGATAAGCAGCAGTACCATGAGTATTAGAACTGCCACAGGGAATTGCCTTCCAAGTCACCTGCTCATTCATTCATTCATTCATTCATTCATCAACAAATATTTATTGAGAACCTAACCATATGCCGGGCACTGTTGGAGGCTTTGAAGGTATGAAACACAAATTCCTGCCTTCATGGAATTTGTATTTTAGTATGGGGAGACAGATAAAAAGTAAGTAGGTTAATAATATAATGTTTGAAGGTTATAATGCGTGCTACAAATGGTATGGTCAGAGAAGGCATTGCTGAGAAAGTGAAGGAATTACTATGTAGATACCAGGAGTAAGAGTATCCACATAGAAGAGCAGCAGGCTCAGTGGCGCTAAGCCAGGAGCGGACTTGCAGTGTCTGTGGAACAACGAAGAGGTCAGATGTGATGGGATGAAGTGAGAAAGAAAGGAAGAGAGGTGAAAGGACTGTGGGAGATGAGGTCAGAGAAGTCACAGTGTGTTGTGTGTGGGTGCAGATTATATAGAGTTTGTAGGCACTGGAAAATGTTTGACTTTTATTCTGAATAAGATGCGAAGCCATTGGAGGGCTTTTGGCAGAAGAAAAACTTCATCTAACATTTTTATTTTATTTTTTTTTAAGATTTTATTTATTTATTTGACAGAGAGAGACAGCGAGAGAGGGAACACAAGCAGGGGGAGTGGGAGAGGGAGAAACAGGCTTCCCGCGGAGCAGGGAGCCCGATGCAGGGCTGGACCCTGGGATCATGACCTGAGCTGAAGGCAGATGCTTAACTGACTGAGCCACCCAGGCGCCCTGATCTAACATATTTTAATAGGATCACTCAGGTTTGGTGTTGAGAATAGACAATGGCTGGAGGTGGTGTGTGGGGGTGCTGTGGAGTGGGGAAAGTGAAGTTGGGAGACATCAGGAGGTTATGGCAATAATCCACAGTGGCTTGGAGCAGGATGGTAGCAGTGGAGGAGGGAAGAAGTGATTAGATCCTGAATATTTTGAAGGTAGAATCAACAGGACATGCTGTGGAAATGGATGTGGGATATAAGAAAATGAGAGTATTAAAGATGGCTAAGGTTTTTTCCTGAGCACTGGGAATGTTGGAATTGCTTTTATCTGAGAAGACAGAACTATGGATGGAGCAGATTTGGGGATGAATATCAGGAGGTACCTCTTAAGTCTGAGGTGCCCACTAGATATCCAGGTAGTTAGTATATCCTCCCTCTGTGGGCCCTTTTAAGTGGAAAGCCAAATCATAAACAGTTTTCTTTCTTTCTTCCTTCCTTCCTTCCTTCCTTCCTTCCTTCCT